AATAAATAATAATTACTGACACAGGAGTTTGGAACCTCCTTAAGTTCCTTGAATTCAAGGACTTCCTTGAGTTTTCCTTTCCAAGCTCTTTAATATTAATATTTAAGTCATAAATCACAGACATGTGGGAGGGTGAGACGTGACATCCAGGCTCCTCGTATATCAGCAGCGTTTCCTTGATGTTGCCGTCAGAAACAAAAGCAGCAGAGTTTTAAAAATAAAAGACATTTTATGAATACCTGACCTTTCACGCCTTTAATTTGAGGTCAGAGGTCAGAGGTCGGAGTACTGTGATACTCGCGGTGCCAACACAAACGACTGCCCAGAGACTGCATCAAATGTTTTCGCACTGTTTCCACAGGCTGCATGGAAACGGCAGCTTGACCCGACTGACCCCGTGTTACTGAGAGTTTATCGCTGTGCAGCGGAGACACTCAGGCTTACATCAGGACGCATTTCTGCTGTGGCGACGCCTCAGAAATAAAACGGGAGCCGCTTGATGCACCAAATATGTCTTAAAGACAGCGACCAGCCGAGCGAGCGGGCAGCGGCTCACACCTGCAAGGCAATGAGACTGCAGCACTCCAGGTCAGCACCAAGTAAAGTGCTGAAGCTAAAAGGCCACAGGCTGAAATTCTTCTGATGGTGAGGACGCATAAAGCTTTCTGGTGAGAGCTTTGACTAAATAAGTACTGTTTGACTTTCAGTAACACACCCCTGCATGAACACACACAGACACACAGCTACCTCTGTCTGTGCTGAGGAAGGGCCTTGGCGTCCACGGCAAACATCTTGGACACGAAGACGATGACAGGAGCGTCTTCCTCACTCGAACACTGCAGGAATGCTGGGAAACACCAGGAATGAAGGAAAAGAGTCAAACACACAGCGAGCTGCTTCAACAACAACACGAAATCCAAACAGACCACACGCCCGACGTTACAGCGCCTCCGTCGCCCTGATGATCACTGCGAGACGTTAACGCCACTGACCCACCACACGGTCACTGACAGGTCACTGCAAACAGCTGCTATCAGTGGGTTCAACAATAACTCTTTATAATCACTGATTTTAAGCATTTAATGGTGATTATTAAGGAGCTGTGATCACAGACTGCATGACGAGGCTCCGCCCAATGTCAGATTAGTCTGAAGCGTCTGAAGCCGACCACAACGCAGCCTTAAACAAAGTCAGGCAAATTAAATCAGCTGATGCAGGATCTGAAGGCCGTGCTTCCTGTTTGATACCAACGTGAGGCTGAATACGACCAGGACGAGGCGACAGCGAAAAGAAAGTAAAAACAAATCTATACAAATGTGTTTGAGCAGGAGGTTAGTAAGAAGACGGCGACTCCTCAGGGCGGGGCCAGCAAAACAGCTGATATGGTGTCTGCAGTCCTGATTCGCTCAGAGCTACACGAGCCAGAGGAGGAGTCACCATCGATCTGCACAGATGATTGGGACGTGCAGAAGCATGCTCACAAAAGAGCTCCTGTCATTGGTTAGAAATCCCAAACAAATACTGTGTGTG